ATAGTTAATGGGGGGAAAATGAGTGGGACCCCAAGAGATGAAAAGAATTAAAAAAAAAACATGAAATTGCACCTGCTACAGTTACAGGGAAAAAGCGCACCTTGGACTGAATCACATCATAGGAGATGGAAAAGGCTACGCAAATTAGACATCCCTTTTCTTTATAGCATATCACATATCACCGCACGTAATTTCATGTATTGATTATGCAATTGTGCAATAAATAAAACAGCGTAGATTTCTAAACATAGCATCACAGCAAGTCACTGTTCAATAATAATGAGGAAAACGTACCCACATAGGTGCCTAGGCAGTGACTGGTTAGCCGCCGACGGCCGGAGGGCCGTGATGCCTCCTGGGGCGTGACCGAGCGGAGGCATGGGGAGAAGGCTGACCTGGTCCGGGGACATTGACGGTGCCTTCACCATCATGGCTTGAATCGTGAAGATTGGAGCATGCGGTGGGATTGGAGGTGGACTGGACAGACTGGGTGATCAGATCGGCTACCATGGTCTTGGCCGACCCCTCTCTGTCGCCCCCGCCGGCGCCGGACGACGTTGTCGCTGACATCTCTATTCCATCTTCGCGTATTAATATACGCGCACACAGTCTGAAAAGAGGATTACGTTCGCCGTATCACGGAGGGGACGGCCGCAGAAGCGTACGAGATGGAAGCATCAAGGCTGACCAGAGAAAAAAACTTCACTGGGGTATTCCGTCGCTCATCCATCCCAACATCATGCGACATCTCGCGATCGTACCCCTTAACGAACCTAGGGTTTCGTCTTGTGACTTCTCGTCAACGATCGACTCTGCTAATCTTGTTTTGAATGTCGGAATTGATAATCCATTGGTTAGAGCATCGTGTGCTGATAACGTGTTAAAAGGAAATATTCAGAATAGTGAATAGAGAGATAAGAGAGAAAGGGAGAATCATGTTTTCATTCATCTGTACAACTTCCATTACACATACAATACATATATATAATACCGAATAATAATGGCATACATAATGAGACATTAATATGTCTGTTACAAACGTTACAAAATAATGGCCACCATTAATATTTATAACAAAGTCTAAATAAAAATTAATTTTTAAAATATTATTATTATGATTGGTGGGTTGACTTGGCAAGCTAAGCCAATTTGACAACTCTATTCGTGGATATATATATAAAATTAAGTTTCAGTGCGGGAAAGTATCTCTCGTGCGGTTGTGTGGGTGATTAAATGTGCGTGAGTTTTGTACTTAAGGTGCGTGCGATTTGTGCTTAATGTGTGTGAGTGTGTACTGAGTTTTGTGCTTAATGTGTGTGAATTTTGTACTTAAGGTGCGTGAGTCTTGTTCATAAGGTGCGTGAGTTTTGTGCTTAATGTGCGTGAGTGTGTACTTAATGTGAGTTGTTGTTGAAACTTTAAGGTGCATAAGTTTTGGGCTTAATGTGCGTGAGTTTTGTGTGCTTAAAGTGCGTGAGGTTTGTGCTTAACATGCATCAGTTTTGTGCTTAACGTGCGTGGGTTTGTGCTTAATGTGAGTAGTTGTTGAAGCTTAAAAGGTGCCTGAGTTCTGTGTTTAAGGTGCGTGAGGCTTGTGCTTAACGTGCGTGAGTTTGTGTTCTTAAGGTGTTTTATTTGTGTGCTTAATGTGCGTGTGTTTTATACTTTAAGTGCGTCAGAGTAATGCTTAACGTGCGTCCACTCGCACAACCGCACGGGAAGCCTCACCCGTACTTGATCCCTTCCATATATATATATATATATATATATATATATATATATATATATATATATATATATATATATATATATATATAGAGAGAGAGAGAGAGAGAGAGAGAGAGAGAGTTAATGCCATTTTTGGTCCTAAACTTATTAACGTGTTGACACTTTTCATCCTCCATAATAAAAATTGCCCCACACTTATTGGTCATTGGACACTTTTAGTCCTCTGTCAGTGCAGCCGTCTATTGACCGTGAAAATGAAGGGCAATACTGTCTTTTTACATGTTCTTCTTCTAATCGTATTAATCAATTTTTTTTACTTCTAAACAACAACCCAGACCAAGCTCGGCAGTTCGAAGACACCAACAACCCAGAATTTTCCACCCCTTTCGCAACCTCTAACTTCTCCTGCTCAAGCCTTCTCCGACCGGCGCCCTCATCGATAACCGGCCCTCCACCGCCATCAACCACCGCGTCTTCCTCGACCGCAGCCAACTCCACTATCTCCTCCACCCTCGGTCTCCTCCCATGGCCTTCTCCTTCTTGACTCATCATTCAATACTCTGCCATAGCATGACTAAATCGGCCACAACTAGAGCAATAAGCCTGCACTTTCTCCACCTCAATCCTCAGCCAAAATCCATACAATTCCCCTTCACCTCCAACAATTTCCACCTAAACTCGATCAATCAAAGGTTTAGAGGCATCAATTTCTACTCTAACTTTGGCCACGCTCGACCTAGTTTGCCTAATGGTTGCCGAGTCTAGGGCTATGACATTTCCAATCGGCTCACATATTCGGCTGAGCATCTCAAAATTAAACAAATAAACAGGTAGAAAAGGCAATTGGATCCATACCAAAGTCAATGGAGAATCTCTGTTGCCTCCCCCCTCCGGTGTCCACTTCGCGAACCCTCCTACAACCCTCTTCTAGAGAGAATTGTATGAGAACACTTCTACAATCAGTGACGTAGTGGTGCTATTGCGTGACTCCAACGGACGCATGGAAGGCGGCGGCGATGTTACGAAGTTTGCCATGGGGTTCATCAAGCTGGTGGTTGGCGGCGGCCCCGGGGATTTGGGGCTCAAGTCGAATGAGGAGGTGAAGCTCCACCATTCGATGCTGTGGATCTCCGTGCTGCCCTGAGTCGACCCAGCGACTCCGACGAACTGAAATCGTTGACGTACTGGGCGAGATTGAACGGGATAATGGATAAGAATGAGAGCTTTGGCTTGAGATTGGAGTAGGAGACGGAGATTTGAGTTGCAAAGTTAACCTGGAGTTGCAGATTGGAGTACTCGGTCAACAACGAAGACTATGTTCTTCTTATTAGGATTAGGAGGAGAACATTTAAAAAGACATTATTGCCCTTCATTTTCACGGTCAACAGATGGCTGCACTGACAGAGGACTAAAAGTGTCTAACGACCAATAAGTGTGGCTACAAATTGGCAATTTTTATTATGGAGGATGAAAAGTGTCAACACCCTAATAAGTCTAGGACCAAAAATGGCATTAACTATATATATATATATATATATATATATATATATATATATATATATATATATATATATATATATATATATATATATATATATATATATATATATATATATATATATATATATATATTTGTTATGTTTTGTATAAACATGTTCTTTTTTCTAGTATTGATTGTGACAATTGACATATATTTTCAGGAGTTAATTCTATTTTTGGTTATAGATTTATATGTGACAGTTCACTTTTAGTCTTTTTATGAGAACATTTCATTTTGGTCCTAGTATTATTGTGGCATGACCAATTTTGGTTTTTCATCAACCAAATCGTTGAAATGTCGTTAAATACAAGAACATTTTGATCTTTTAATATAAAGTGCATCGACCCGTTATATTTTTATGTTTATTTAAAAAAAATCATAATTGAAGACTGAAACGCCCTTGTATTTAAAGATATTTAAACTATTTTGTTTATAGAGGACCAAAATTGGTCCTGTCAAAATAATACTATGACCAAAATGGGATATTCTGATTAAAAAAAAAGACTAAAAGTGGATTATCATCTATAAATCCAGAATACTTGCTGGGAGCTTTGGAAGGCTAGGAACAAGTGGGTCTTCGAGCAGAAAACGAGCAGCTCAGAGGACATTGTTCAACAAGTTAACATGTTCTCAACTATGACGATGGAAATGACGAAAGCTCACCTTGGACGGCAAGGGGCACTCACTAGCTGGATTTCCTGGAAATCGCCGGAAATGGGGTGGATAAAGATCAACACAGACGGCTCGTTCAAGAAGAGTTCCAATATCGCCAGTGCAGGAGGATTGGCAAGGGATCACCAAGGGAAGTGGATTTTTGGTTTCACAACCAAAGTCAGGCATTCTAATAGCTTTGTCGCGGAGCTGTGGGGCCTAAGGGAGGGTCTACGACTGGCAAGGGCTAAGGGTTGGGGGAGAGTGATTCTAGAACTTGACTCCGAAGCGGTTATTGCTGTCATGAAAGAGACCGAGGAAAAACAGGAATCAACGTCAACTATCGTCAAGGATTGTAAATTTCTTGCGAAAGCTTTCAGTACAATTCGGTTCCATCATACCTTGAGAGAAGGCAAAAGGTGTGCAGATCACCTTGCCAACATCGGTCAACAAGGCGATTGGGGTACCACGGAGTTGGTCGACCCCCCGGAGAGCCTGAAGCATCTCCTCGCAGTGGATGTTTTCGGGGCCAGCACCCTTCGTGTCTGGTAGTTTTGGGATGCTCCGTTCTTAGCTTCTCCGTGTCTTAGCACAGGTCAAATTCACCAAAAAAAAAAATCTATAAATCCAGAATCAAAAATGAAATTAACTCTATTTTCAGTTGTGCATTTATATATGAGATTGTGATAAAGTTTTACCATGAGAATATAATTTTCTCTTTCTATAATAGTGTTGTTTAGATTTTCTTCCAAAATAATTCAAGTCATCATGATAATGACTAAATACGCCACTTTTGTGAGTTATAAGGGGTAGTATTGCAACTCAATGTTAATTAGGATTTAGGAGTGAAAATTTCACTACTCATCATTAGAACAAAGACCAAATGTGCCAACTTGGTGACTAATTACATGGTACTGTTACAACTCCATATTAATTTTGGATGAAAATTATACTTATACTATAGCTTAATGACTAAAATTATAATTTTTCCTTGCTTGTATTTATTTAGTTGGAAAAATTATAATTTAACCCCTGAATTATAATATATCAATGGATTCAATCTTTATGCTATAAATATTACTCTTTTCATTCCATTTTATATATTTGATTCGGTTAACAATACTTGATTGAAATTATGTATGCTATAAATATCACCCCAATCCAGATTTTATCCACTCGAGGCCTCAACAGATTACCTCAACTTTGGCTCTTGCTATGCTTGGCCTTGATTTCCTTGTCGTCGCCGCATCTACAACCAATAATCGACCCACCGGTGCACATATGCGCTTTAGAATCTATAAATTGGATAGGTGATATGGAAGTCTAGGTAATTGAATCCATATTGCTGCAAATGACATATCTCGTCTAGGGCTCCAATCCGACGCCCATATGGAGAACCGCACAAGCTTTCCTCCAAATATTCCTTGGTTTCTAGCCAAGACCTTATTGCATTTCCCAATAAACATGTTATAAACCCAAAAAGAGTTACAATTATTATTAAAATATCAATTAAAATTGTGGGATCCATACTTTAATGACCCAAGATAGGTCGCAAATAGCTTGTTCAAAATAGGTTCTAAAGTCCCAAGTGAAAAATAGGAATAAAGTATTCTCAAAATTAAATGAGAAACCAAACAAGCTTTCTAAATAGGCTATAAAATCCAAAATTAGCCCAAGGATAAAAAAAAAAAATGAATGATATTTACTATAAGACTATGAGTTAATAATATGCTATATCCAACAATCTTAATATATTTTTTTCTAAATGTATAATTATAATAAAATAATTTAGGAATATACAAAGCATGCTTGGATTTTGCATATTAATATATTATTAACTCATAAATCCTAAATAAATTTCAATAATTCAGGCAATTTAATATGCACATCAATATATTAAATTAAAATTCAAGTAGCAAATTCAATACTTAATATTTGCTCAAAAATGAATAAAAATTTAATTGTGACAAGAATTACTGTACTGGTACTAATAATGACAATAACAGGGCCGTTTCAATAAAAATTGAGACCCTGTGCAGTATCTTAATTTGGGCCATTTTTTATAAGTAATTTTTATATATAAATAATAGTTACGCTATTCAAAAAGTTGTATCAACATATAAACATTGCATAAAAAATACATGTAAAATTTTATTTAAAAAGTGACATGCGTCGTGCACATTTAGACGCAAAATTATCTACCAAACTTTTGATATCAACTTCTTCCAAAAGCTCATTTTCAATGGAGATTAATACTAATTCATTGAGTCTCTCTTGCAACATACTTGATCGTAAGTAAGATTTCAACAATTTCAACTTCGAAAAACTCCTTTCTGTAAAGGCAACAGTAATTGAGATAGTCAATAATATTTGATATACAATAGTAGCATTTGGAAAATAACACATCTGTTTCAATGAATTCAATATACTCACTGCGCCTATATTTTCTTTTGATAAAATCTCTCTAAGCAATTTTAGCTCCAAATACAATTCATTTCCATCAATATCATCACACTGATCATATCTCTTAAGAGCTAACAAGTGCAACAAGACTTGAAATTGATATCAGTCATCGATTGTAACTTGTCAGAACTAAACAAAAAAACCAAAAGTTCCTTCATATACTTCATATTGTTCAAACCTCTGGGTCAATGAAATAATAGCTTGATCTACAATGTATAAAAAATAATGAACCCTAAAATATTCTTCGGGTGATAATGAAGTGTCATCAACAATTTTTCCTTGGCATCATCTTTTTGCTCATCTATTTGAGTTTGGTTTGTAATGAATTTTTCAAGAGCTCCCTTTTGAAATTGAGTTAGTTGCTCAATTCTTCTTTTCTTTTTACACTGATGAATATTTTCTAGAAGACATATTATAAAATCCTATAGAAAAAAGAATTTATTTAGAAACTTTATAAATAATTAATTAATTAATCAATAAACAAAATCTTAAATATATTGTTATAATCGAATTTAGAATTATTAAGTCATGTCAATAAAACAAATTAAACAAAAATTGTGAAAAATACGTAATTTTAATTACCTGTTAAGAGAGTTGAAGAACTTGAAAGTTTGTGTGATCAAGAAGAATTGAAGAATTAGTTGAGATGCGCTCTGCAATATGCGGAATTGCCAATTGCCCAATTTATTAGGGTACTAGTACATAGTTTATAGGGTTTCGAATTGCCAAATTGCAGAATTGGGAATGTGTTTAATTCCTTATACTCTGAACATGTTATTGCCTAATTGAGATTTCGGATTAGAAAATTTAATTGCCGAATTGCAGTTTTGGTAATGTCCTTATAGTCTAACCTAATTGTCCTTATATATATGATGAATATGGAAACTGATAAATCAATACAATAATAGAATCAAAAAAATTTTGGGAGGATTTTGCCTGGCTAACTGATACCAGATGAATATGGAAACTGATAAATCAATACAATAACAGAATCAGATTACAATAATAATACTCTAGAGAGAACTAACTAATAGGCTATAGACTAAGACTAATCTAAGCTACACATAACATCAGATAATAACAATATTAATAATAATAAACCATAGTCTAACATATATAGATACTTTTTTTAAAGGTTTTAAAAGCAATTTGGGCTCAATTTTCTTTTTATAAAATAAATATTAGGAATAAAGGTCAAATATGCCATCGAATTACACACGATAAAACAATTAGGCCACTGAACTTAAAAAATCAACAATTAGGTCCCTAAACTAATCAATTTCAAACAATTCTTCCCATTTGAAGGTTTCCAATAGGTCATCCTTCCAAATTAATTATTTTTTAAAATTTAAATTTTAAAAATTAATTATTTAAATTAAAAAAAAAAAAAAAAAAAAAAAAAAAAAAAAAACTGGTTCCGGCCGGAGACGACCGTCTCCGGCCGGTTTCTTCGTCTCCACGGCCGGAGACGAAGAAACTCTTCGTCTCCGGCAGTGGAGACGAAGAGTTTCTTCGTCTCCCGCCATGGAGAACGAAACCTTCTTCGTCTCTGGCCATGGAGATGAAGAAACCGGCCTCCGGTCGTCTCCGGTTGGATTCCAGTTTTTTTTTTTAAAATTTAATTTAAAAATAATTAATTTTTAAAATTTATTTTTTAAAAAAATAATTAATTTGGGAGATGACCTGTTGACCTGTTGGAAACCTTCAAATTGAAAGAATTGTTTGAAATTGATTAGTTTAGGAACCTAATTGTTGATTTTTTAGGTTCAGTGCCCTAATTGTTGTATCGTGTGCAGTTCGATGGCCTATTTGACCCTTATTCCTAAATATTATTATTACTATATACATATAGTTTTATTTTTAAAATATGGGGCCCCCAAAAATTGGGAGCCCTGTGCGGTCGCTCATGTTAGACATAGAACCGGCCTTGGACAATAATTCAAATACAAAATCATCCAAATAATGTTATAATTAATCTTAATTTGAAATTTTTTTAATGCCAAAATTAAAGAATAACTAAAGAGCATTATTATTTCAAAATAGGCATTATTATTTCAAAATAAGTAATTACCATGTAATTTACTATTTGCCAAATATGTATATATTAATTAAGGTAATAAAAATGCCATAATTAATCTTAATTAGAAATTTTTTTAATGCAAAATTAAAGAATAATTAAAGGGCATTATTATTTCAAAATAAGCAATTACCATGTAATTTACCATTTGCCAAATATATATATATTAATTAAGGTAATATGACAATTTTGAAACAAATAATCACCATACCAAAATTAATATATAATTCTGAAATAAGGCAAATAAATAAATAAATAAATATGGTAAATAAAGATAATTGCATTTGAATTGAATACAAAATATGCACGTACCAGTACAGCAGTACCCCTCCATCAGTTTGTCTTCTTCATGATAGCTGAAACCAGAAAACCCTAGCGCCGCCCATAGCAAGTGAACCAGTGTCGCCTGAAGGATGGAAGAGGACAGCGACGACGCCGGAAATCCAGCCTCTCTCCTCGTCGCGACACCAGGTTCGCTGCGTCAACGGCGATGTCCGCCCAGCGGCACGGCTCCATACAAGACCGCTGCACCATTTTCTTCATCCATGGACGACCGGTCACCTTCGATCTGCTGCCAACCGCCGGAACTCCGATCGCCGGACATCCTTGTCGACATCTTCTCCAGCTTTTACTCCGCTGTCTCAGCTCTCCGGCCACAACCACCCCACGAGGCGGCCACGATGCAGCTTTTCCTCAACAAAGGTCACCGAAAACCGAAAACAACAACAACAATTCCAGAAAAGAACAAAATATACACCAATAGTAAAAAATCCAGGTATATTCATATTCAAATATACATAGAAATATTTTTGTTCCAAAATATGCATAGTAATATACTAATCACTTTCAAAAAGCACAAATTATGTACATGCATACTGATTTGCAAAAGTAATATATGAATATACACTGGAAAATTGCTACAATTCAATTGGCAACAATATTCGTATAGTATATATATTTTATACATATATTCATGCAATTTTGACTAACTAGGCAGAATCAATGCATGTAATCTAACCTTTTAGCAAAAGCATATGATCGAGTTGTTTAAGAATAGTAAAGAACTTTAGAGTTTTTTCTACCACTTGGTCTCCTGTACAACTAGATGGTGTAGTGTCTCGAATAATAGGAACAGTGGGAAGACCATACATATATATAACCTACGTGCCATCATTATAGGTTAAAGTAACGAAACCATTAAATCACAACATAATGACTACAAATGGCCTATTAACTTGCACCACTTAATGGTGGCATGCATAATGAAAAATGTTACATCACTCCCATGGAAAGCTTGTTATTAATGAAATCAAAATGAGTATCATAGCAAGTAAAAAGTTGTCAAGAATTCAGAAGCTTCAAATTAAATGTGTAAGTTCGATTGAAATCAAAGTAAGTATAACACATGAAGATCAAATAAAATTTTGTTGGAATTTAGAAGCCTCAAATTAAATGTGTAAGTTTGATTGAAATCAAAGTGAGTATACCGCACATGAAGGGCACGTAAAAGGTTCTCGAAAATTCAGAAGCCTCAAATTAACCGTATATTAAAAGAAGTAGGCCTATTTCAAATCGGAAAAAAAAAATTGTATAAAAGAAATAAATATATACTACTATATATAATAATATGTTCATTAACTATTATAGGTCAATTTACCTCATCTCGAGAAATTGCATCAAGAATTCATTTTAGTTCAAATTGCAAGTTGAAATAGTTGTACAATTCGATCCCATCAGATCTGCAAGTTGAAAGGTAAATTACTATCTTATTTGATGATGAAATTGTC